TACTTCTTAAAGTAACTCATTGCATATGAATCCACGCTTAGAGTTAAAATAGCCGAAAGCATAGCCACAAATGTCGTGAAGGGAAATTTTTTCCAGGGGTTATCTGGTAAGCAGTCTGACCTAAGACAATCGAACGAGTCAGGCATAACATGCATGTATCCAGTGGCTAGTATAACCCCGGAAGCAAATGCCTTAACCAACACGAATAAATTCTTATCGGGTTGAAGGGCAGGAACTGTACGAGAAACAAGAGGTAAACAAACACCAATCATGCTAGTTACAAGAATCGAAGCAATGGCAACAAGTTTTAGCTTTAATGCCTCATTCTTGTTTCTACATCCATGTCCAGTATCCGAACCACATTTTGATTGAGTAGTATTATTATCTTCAGATTCACATGTGATTTTTGATGGAAAAGAAAGGAAAATAAAAATGAGAAATATAGCAATATATTTAGAAGAAATGGCCATTTTGGATTGCAAAGAGACGTGATACAACTTGATGGAATTTTCGGATAGAATCTGTTGATCTTATAAGAATTTGAAGTCAAAGCTAACTGATCAAATGACACTTTTACCCTTAATTTTAATCCAAATTAAGGTAGTTAAATTGGAGTTGAGAGTATAATTGTTCAGTATAACGAGGGTAAAGTAAAAAATATGTACGAGGAATGTTTGCTTGTGACAAGCGTGCGCTGTGCGTGTGTCGTCATCATTTTGACTACGTAGTGTATATTAAAGTCACCATCAATCTTTACTTTAACGTGTGCCTTAGATGACTTGTCATCCTAGGTGGCATTAGGTTTGGGCCCACATGATTATGACACTTTTTTTTTACGGATTGCGTTTATTTTGAAAATATTCCCTTAAAGCCAAAAATAATTGATTTATCAAAATTAATAATATACCCTAAGACTATCTTACATTTTCAAAATTTTTGGTACTAATTTAACAACAGAATTAGTTCGAGTATGTATATGCTTATTCAAGCTACTAAACTAAAATCTATATTTTCATAAATCTTAATATTGCAATGAATTTAAGAATGCATTTCATCTATGTTATCACTTAATTATATTAGCATATATTATTTCAATCATTTATATACAAAACGATATATTAGACACCAGGAGCGGAGCTACAATAGTGAGTGTGGGTTCGGGCGAACCCAGTAGGGGTGGGCATAAAATCCGAAAAATCGAATTCCGAACCGAACCGAATTAATTTGGTATTTTGGTTTCGGTTTTTTTCGGTATTTTGATTTTTTCGGTACAAAAATTTCTGTATTTCGGTTCGGTATACCGTATTAGATTTTTGGTATTTCGGTATACCGAAATACCAAAATAATTAGCCAGTAAATGGTTGCGGTGTTGTGTTAGTTTGTAGATTTTGAAAACTATTTAAGCCTGTTTCCCTAAGTATTTTGAGTTCTATCTACCATTTATTTGAGATGAGATGTTCTTTCCAGGTGAATGTTCATTATAAGACTTATTTATTCCTTTTCAACAGTAGTTTTTCTCACTGTTGAACTTGATCTGATTGTGGGTTCATCCTAGAAACTTATCCAATCTCATGAAACATGAATATTATTGCCATACAGGGATAGATGAGGCTGATGACTTAACAAGCCATATCATTCGAAATTAGTTATTGGTTTAGCTGATATAGTTAATCTAATAAATTTGTATCAAGATATTTCACAATCACAATCTCTTATGCAGAAGCCTTATAACATAGATTTGGTTTAAATCGAAACCGTACCGAAACCATACCGAACCAAAATAAGAAATATTGAACCGTACCGAAATATTTCTGTACGGTATTTGTTATACACAATTGATAAACCGAATACCGAAATACCGAACCGAAATTCTTAAATACCGAACCGAAATACTGAATGCCCACCCCTAGAACCCAGTGATTTTTTCTCGGACCCTGTATTTGCATTGAAAATTTCATCTATGTTCCATTGTTTCTACTTGGTTCCCACATATCAGGCATCCACTATCTTGGCTTATCTTCAGTTTTAGCAGTCGCTCCTTAGTCAGTACCTTCCTATGCATGGCAAGCCAACTAGTGAAACTATGTTTAGACACATTCATCCGATTCCATACCCCCGATACCATGGTTGTTTCTCTACTTCTCCTTTACACCATTGGTATCCACTTCTCACAGTATATTTGATCCCCTGTGTTAGCCAACCATTGATCACAAATCCAGCAGCAAATTTATCCCTAATGGTACAAATTTTCTTCCAATACTAGCAACTGTCATTTGGAGGTACATATTGCCACGACGACTGATCCTTTATGTATACATGTTTGACCCATTTCACCCATAGATTGTCTTCCTTATTTGCTATGTTCCATACATATTTCGCCATTGTTGCTTCATTCCAAATTATACAATCAGTTATCCCCAATCCCCCTTGTTATTTTGGCCTACATACTATGCCACATGCTACTAATGCCATTTTGGTTAAATTCCCTTTTCCTTCCCATAGAAAGCTTCTGCAGATGCCTATTATGTTCCTTAATACCTTTTTGGGGAGGATGAAGATGGAAGCCCAATATGAATGCACTTGCATCAACACTGAATTCACTAGCATCACCCATCCAGCATAGGATATATTTCTTGTACCCCATGTTTTGACTTTGGTAGCCATTTTCTCCACCAACATTTCACAATCTGTTATTGATAGCTTCCTAGCAGATATTGGTACCCCAAAGTACCTGAATGGTAATACCACTCTTTGATATCATGTAAGCTCACATATGTCCTAAATGCATTGCTCCTCCATGTTCGCAATATAGATGTTTGATTTAGCTGCATTAGTGTGTAATCCTGATGCTTTTGACAATATTTCCAGCCCCCTTAGGATCATTTCCACAGATTGCCACTCCCCTTTACAAAAGAATAACACATCATCTGCAAAACATAGATGGTTTAATTTGAGCCCTCGATATTTGGTATGAAACTGGAACCCTTTTTGTTCAGTGATCCATTTCATAATTCTTGATAGGTATTCCATGCAAATTACAAATAGGAGAGGTGATATTGGATCTCCTTGCCTTAGCCCTCGTTTGCCCTCAATGTTGCCATAGACTCCACCATTCACTGCTATTGTATAATGAGTAGATATAATGCAAGACATCAACAACTCTATGAATTTTTTAGGGAAGTTAAGAGCATGCAACATCTCTTCCACAAATTTCCACTCCACAATGTCATATGCCTTCCTTAGGTCTACTTTAATTAGACAGCTTCTAGTCATATTCTTTCTCTTATACAGCCTCACCAGATCTTGGCATATCAATATGTTGTGCACTATATTCCTTCCTTCCACAAAAGCACTTTGATTAGAAGAGATTATCCCAAGTAGTACGTTTTTAAGCCTATTTCATAGCATATTCGAGATCACTTTATATATTGTATTGCAACAAGCAATTGGTCTAGAGTCACCTACTGCCTCAGCATGAGTGCTCTTGGGGATAAGAGCTATCACAGTGTTGTTGACAATTTTGAGCATTCTGCCTTCTCTAAAGAACTCCAAAATTTCACTTTTTACATTTGCACCCACAATATCCCAGCATTCTTTGTAAAACTAGTTTCCAAACCCATCCGGACATGGAGCTTTGTCTCCTACAATTGCCCATAGAGCCTTCTTCACCTCTGTTTCTGTGAAGTCTGCTACCAGTTCATTCCTTTTCTCCTCTTTCACTATTGGACCCTGTCTTATTACCTGGCTATTTACATGATCCCTGCCCTCAAATTTCCTTCCCAGCATTTCTGTGTAAAATTCTATAAATGCATCTGGAATCTTGACTGGATCATCTATATCACACCCTTTCATGTCCTTGATGTGGAATATTTTGTTACTGTTCCTTCGAGCTTTCAACAGACCATGAAAGTGTTTAGTATCCCCCCCCCCCCCCCCCGTCTGAGCCATTGGGCCTTAGCCTTTTGCTGCAAGAACATGTTCCTTGCCTTTTCTCATTTGTGCACTCCTCATTTAATCTTACTTCTTCATTTATTAATGCTTCATTTTTAGGGTTCTTCTGTACTCTGCTTTGACACTATTAAAGGGTATCTAGTACTTCCTCTGCTCTTTTTTCAATGTTGTTGAATCTCTCCTTGTTGATTATCTATAAGATGCTCTTGATTCTGTGTAGTTTCCCCACCAACTGGTACATTTTTGTACCGCTCTTATTTGTTTTCCAGACATCTTTTATTCTTTCTTTGAAATCTCGTGTCATGCTCCACATATTGAAGTATTTGAAGCTTCTTTTCACCTGTTGTCCTCCTCCCTCCCAATTAATTATGCCTGGGGAATGATCAAATAGCCCTGGTTGCATGTAGTGGACCTCTGATGCAGGCAACTTTGTCATCCATTCAAAGTTGAAAAGGACTCTATCTATTCTACTTATTACTCTGCTTTCTCCAGGTTGTTTGTTGCTCCAAGTATAGAATGCTCTTAAGGATCTCATGTCTTGTATTGAGCACTCCTCCATACATTTTTTAAACTCCCTGATTTCTGCCATAGTAACCAAGCTCCCCATTCTTTCTTCAGTACTCAGGATGTAATTAAAGTCCCTCATTATTACCCAAGGCCCTCTGACTTGTTGGTGTATACTCTTGATATCTTCCCATAGTTGCCTTCTCATGCTTTGATTGTTAAACCCATAGATTATTGTAACATTGAACTGTTTTCCTATCCCTCTATGTTGGACCATACATTGTATAAGTTGCTCAGTTACACTTGTTATATTGACATCATATACTCCAGGTTTCCATACAACCCATATTCTCCATGCCGAATGCTTTACTAAGTTCGTAGTAAATCAACCATTGTATAGATTATGAGCAGCTTGTTGTGCCTTAGCTCTCTTAATCTTTGTTTCCAGGAGATCAAATAAGCCAACTCTTTGATTATTCATAAACATGTCCATTTCCTTTTGTTTATGTGGCTTTTTCAACCCCCTAACATTCCAGAAGCCTTTTCTATCCATTGGATGAGGGGTAGCCCCCATCCTGCCCTTTTCCTAAAGCCATCTCACTCCATTTCCCTTTGTTGTTCCTGTTCTCCACCACATTCCCATTTGCTGCTTCTGCTTTCTCTTGTTGATGATCCTCTAGTGTTTCAAAAGAGTTCCCAGTACTGATAGTATCCTGGTGTATTCCATCCCCTACTCTTCCCCTTCCTGAATTCTTCCACGTTCTAGATGTAGTTGCTACCTCATTCCCAATAGTTGCTACCTCATTCCTAGTGTTTCCTTTGCTTGTTGGCCCAATCACTTGTTGTTTTTGTCCCTGTTCTCTTTTATTCTGCACATTTGCATTCTTCCTTTCCACTTGTTTTTGCGTCTGTACTTCAATTGGCTCTTTTGGCTCCTGTTTATTTGCTTGTTTCTCCTTTTCCTCTTTGATAAATCTCCTGCACTCATTCATTTCATGCCCAATATTCTTGCATTTTCCACACAGGGTAGGTTTCCATTCATAGAAAACCTTCTGATCTACAATTCTGCCTCTCTCATCCTCAAACATGATTGTATCTGGATATTTCTGATGAGGTTTAACCTCAACTAGGACCCGGGCATATGTAAGTCTCTCCTTCTGTGTGTTGTAGCTCGATCTGCTTTTAATGTCTTACCTACCAGTCCTGCCAATTTTGTGAGAGCAACTTGTCCCCAGTATTTTATATCGAGTCTATTGAACCTAATCCACATTGGGATCAATTCAACTGATTCCTTTTTCATATCCATGTCTGGGCTCCAAGGTTTTACCACCACTGGCTTTCTATCGAACATCTGGACTCCATCCTCAATTACTTTGATTCTACTTTCAAAGTTATGGAATCTCACCGTGAACACTCCTCTATTAATCTGTGTTATCTTGTCTATGCCAAGAGATCCCCATATCCTTTGAAAGCATCCTTCCATAATTGCTTGTGGTGGATTAGATCCCAGAACAAAACATACGACTACCGAACTCCAGAATTCTATTTCCTCCTTTATATCCTCCATAGTTATTTTCACATTCAAATTGTCCTGAACTTGGGGTGTTAAGTCTAGTCCTTCAGTAATTGGGCTTGTAACAACTTTGCTCTATGATTTAGGGCTCATCTCTTTGTTTTCCTTTTTCTCCGTCAATTTCTCCGCATCCTCCACTCTTTCTGCCCATGATTTGCGTCCCTCGTCCTGCTTGTTTACTCCATTTCTGTTAATTGTTGTACAATTCCCTGATGCCTCACCATCAATAGCTGATTGGCTCAGATCTAATGGTCGTATCCCTTGCAAAACATTGATGTTGCGAGTTCTCTTTGCATCCGCTGATTGTGGAATTCCTCTTGTTCCGTTCCCATTGCTCAGATTTGTTCCTTTCATGTGCGAACCTCCCTCTCCAACCTTTGATTTCCTTGTCATTTTCAGCAATGGCCGAGAAGAAATTTCATTCTAGAGAGAGAAGATTCTCTTATTAGTGCTCGTCTTTTAGGTAAACTTACACACACACACTGACGCAATAACTTGGAGATCTTCTCACACGACTTTAAATACATAATAAGTAATAACAAGTAGGTAATTAATATGACGCAATAAGTTGGAGATCTTCTCATGCTTCTTCATGTAGTCTTATTACATTAATAAGCTAAAATACGCATTTTAACCCTAGAGTTAATATAGATAATTATTTATATGCTTTATTCACCTTAAAAAATTCTTGAAAATTACTACTCAATGAAGGGGGCAGCTAATATTGTCACGAGCCCGGTTCGCCCTCCGTGAACCATCGTGATAGCATCTAGTCTCTACGACTAGGTAAGCCTAACTTGCGGAAGAAAACCAAAATTTGCGGAAGTAAAACAATTTAAAAACAGAAATAAGGCAATAACAGTGTTAAATATGTCGCTCGGCATACACCGTATTTATATAGATCTCAAAACCAATATCTAAATCCAAGGACCGAAAACCCACGAATCACAAGCTAAGAAAAAGAAATACTACATAGCTCTAACTCCGGAATTTTTGTTTAATAAGAACAGAAGTACAGAAGGGCTAAATACTAAAGCATGAATAGAAAGGGACTTCTCAGTCTGCGGACATGGCAGATGTACCTCGAAGTCTCTAAGCAGTTGCCTCCCTCAATGATAGTAGACTTGAGTAGCGGTACCTGGATCTGTACATGAAAAATATGCATATAAGAGGCATGAGTACACCACAACAGTACTCAGTAAGTGCCAAGCCTAACCTCGGTTAGGTAGTGACGAGGAAGGTCAGGGCCCTACTGAGGTTAAATTCAATACAAGGGTTGACAGTGTGGAATAAAACAGTATAAATAAGTGCAATAGTAAGAAATATCATAGAATTGACAGAACAACAACAACTAGAACAAAGACAAAACAAGCCACGGAAAGAAGTACAGTTCAAAATGTAGATAACAACCGGGGCACCTTCCAAGATACCGTCCTGTAGTCCCAATTACCATTGTCCGGTGGATCTCCCGGGATACCATCCCGTAGTCCATCATATATATATGTCCGAAGGATCTCCAGGGATCCCGTCCCATAGTCCAAATATCAATGCACGGGGATCTACCGGAATCCCATTCCGCAGTCCCAAAAGTAAATACCCAGTACTAGGGGAATCTACTAGGTGCATTCCTGAAGTTCCATATAACTGTGCAGGGGGATCTACCGGGAATCTAACCCGTAGTCCCAAAGTAAACAGACAAGGGTGAGCTACCGGAATCCCACATTCGTAGTCCCAAAATAAATACACAGTAGCAGCAGGAAGATATACAGAAATAGCTAAATTTCATATTAAGGCAATAAGTGATTCTAGCCTAACATGCTGCACAGAATTCAAGAAAGGAAGGTTAAATCAAATGAAGCAATTAAATCACTTAGACATGCTTACCTAAGCTAACAACATGCTTAATAATGCAAGTAATAGAAATAGGAAAGGAAAACAAACTAGTAATTACTTAAAGAAAACCGGATTTCCAACAATTAGCACAAGTACGCACTCGTCACCTCACGTACAAGGCATTTCAATTACCAAATATATCAATCCTAAGGGGAAGGTCCCCCAAATAAGGTTAGACAAGCCACTTACCTCGAATCGGCTCAATATCAATCTGACACCACGTTCTTACCACGAGTACTCGACTCCAAATGGCCCAAATATATCCAATTCAATTTCATAATGTAAATAACACTTCAAGTAACTTATTCTATGATTAAATTCTTAGCTAATGCGCGAAATTATGTAAAATGACCAAAACGCCCCTAGGGCCAACGTCTTGGAATCGAGTGAAATTTACGCTTTCGGAAACCTCGTACTCTAACGAGTCAAATCATACCAAAATTATCCAAATCCCATAATATCTCGACCATCAAATCCTCAAATCTATCCGAGAGGGTTTTTGAAACTCTTCCAACTAAATTCACAGATTAAATGCCAAAACTAGTAATAGATTCGAGTAATCTAACCAAAATTAAGTTAAGAACACTTACCCCGTTCTTTACCTTAAAAATCTCTCGAAAATTACCTCTCCCCAAGCTCCCCATTTTTAGAACTTAAAACATTCTATCCAGCAATTTTCGTATCTGTGGTCTCGCTTCTGCAGAACAAGTGTCGAATCTATGACTTCCCACCTAAAGGCCAAATTCCGCATCTGCGGCCCTTTACCCGCAGGTGCGGCACTGCTTATGCAAAAAATATACCGCATCTGCGGTTCCTGGAGAGATGGCCAAAATTTCGCTACTGTGGCTCCGCACCTGCGGAACCCAAACTGCAGGTGCGGTTATGACAGCACTAGCAGCTGAAGCTGTAACTAAACTCCAAAATTTCCTTCGTTAACCATCCGAATTCATCCCAAGGCCCCCGGGACCTCAACCAAAGGCATCAACATATCCTAAATCCTTATTCAAACTTGCACTAATCTTCAAAACACTTCAAACAACATCAAAACAACCAAAACACATCAGATTCAAGCCTAAGTTTCTAAAATCTTCCGAATTCCGTTTTCGATCAAAAACCCAACCAAAACACATCTGAATGACCTGAAATTTTTGCACACACATCCCAAATGACACAATAGAACTACTGCAACTCTCGAAATTCCATTCCGACCCTCGGATCCAAATCTCGCTATCGAACCGGAAACTCCAAAAACTCAACTTCTGGCATTTCAAGCCTAAATTAGATACGAACTTCCAAAACACAATCCGAACACGCTCCTAACCCCAAAATCACCCAAGATTTCCATTCCGATGCCGTATTCACACTGTTCTGACTACGGTCAACCTTCCAACACTTAAGCTCTCACTTAGGGACTAAGCGTCCCAAAACTCCCCGAAACTCAAAACCGAACATCCCTGCAAATCATAATGGCAGAAATAAACTTGGGGAAAGCAGTTAATAGGGGATCGGGGCGTTAATTCTTAAGATAACCGGCCGGGTCGTCACATCCTCCTACACTTAAACATTCATTCGTCCACGAACGAGTATAAAGACATACCTGAAATAGTGGAAAGATAAGGGTAATGGCTGCGCATATCCCGCTCGGTCTCCCAGGTCGCATCCTCGACCGACTGACCCTGCCATTAAACCTTTACTGATACAATATTCTTTGATCTCAGCTTCCTAACCTGCCTATCCAATACCGCCACTTTCTCCTCATCATAGGATAAATTCTTGTCCAACTGGACTAAACTGAAATCCAACACGTGCGATAGATCACCGTGATACCTCCGGAGCATCGAAACATGAAATACCAGATGAATTCCTACCAAGCTAGGAGGTAAGGCAAGTTCATAAGCAACCTCCCCAACACGCCTCAATATCTCAAAAGGGCCAATAAACTTCGGACTCAACTTTCCTTTCTTCCCAAATCTCATGGCGCCCTGCATAGGTGAAACCCGATGCAGAACCCGCTCTACAACTATATAGGAAACATCACGAACCTTCCGGTCCGCATAACTCTTCTGTCTGGACTGGGATGTGCGAAGTCTATCCTGAATCACCTTAACCTTCACCAAACCATCCTGAACCAGGTCTGTGCCCAACAATTTGGCCTCACTCGGCTCAAACCAACCCACCGGGGATCTACACCGTCTCTCATATAAAGCCTTATACGGTGCCATCTGAATACTGGACTGATAGCTATTATTGTAAGCAAACTCTGCCAATGGCAAGAACTGATCCCAAGACCCTCCAAACTCAATCGCACACGCACGGAGCATATCCTCAAGAATCTGAATAGTGCACTCGGACTATCCGTCCGTCTAAGGGTGAAATGTTGTACTCAACTCTACCCGAGTACCTAACTCATGCAGAACGGCTCTCCAAAACCGTGATGTGAACTGGTTACCTCTATCTGAAATGATGGAAATCAGAATACCATGCAGACGAACAATCTCCTAGATATAGATCTCCGTCAGCCGCTCCGAGGAATAAGTAGTACACACAGGAATAAAGTGAGCAGACTTGGTCAGCCGATCCATAATCACCCAAATAACATCAAACTTCCTCAACGCCCGTTGGAGCCCAACTACAAAGTCCATGGTGATCCGCTCCCACTTCTACTCTGGAATCTCTATCTGCTGAAGCAACCCACCCGGCCTCTGGTGCTCATACTTCACCTTCTGACAGTTGAGGCACCGAGCTACAAATCCAACTATATCCTTCTTCATTAGCCTCCACTAGTACTACTGCCTCAAATCCTAATATATCTTCGCGGCACCCGAATGAATGGAATACCGCGAGCTATGGGCCTCCTCCAGAATCAACTCCAGAAGCCCATCAACATTGGGTACACAAACTCGACCATGCATCCTCAATAAACCGTCATCGCCGATAGTCACATCTTTGGCATCACCATGCTGAACCTTGTCCTTGAGGACCAGCAAATGAGGGTCATCATACTGATGCTCCATGATACGATCAAATAAGGAAGACCAAGAAACCACACAAGCTAGAACCCGACTGGGCTCCGAAAGATCCAATCTCACAAACTGGTTGGC